CTCTTGTTTATTTCTCTCGGCTATATGATTTTCTTTCGGTTTTCTTATCACAGGGTTTTGCCCTTCCTTATCACTACATACTTGAAGGTTATATAAGAGTCTTTGTCTCATCAGCAATGGCAAGGAAGTATTGTTGTTACTGTTATTGTTGGTAATAAGCTATAATAGTAATTTGAATTATATGTTTCTTTTTTTCTTGTTCAAACATAGATGCCTTATAAATGTCAGCATTTTTATAGAAGGGAATACATTACATAGAAGACATACTAGTTGATGTAAAAGCTGTTTTATTATATTAACATATTTATTTTATGTCAGAAATTGATCATTAGTGGACATGACAACTATCATATCAGTCACACAGCATATAGTCTTTTGTGTCATGGTTACACTGAAGCAGTGTTTTGGTGTGTGCATGTGTGTGTGTGCGTGTGCATGTGTGTGTGTGGCAGCTTGCCTACTTATGTGTACATGTTCATGTGTGTGTATATACAAGCATGCAGTGTGACATACGTACATGTTCAATCATACATCATACATAGATACATAAATACAGTACTTACATATGCTGATGGTATTAACATAGAGATACTTAATCTCTAATGCTTCTTTTTGTGTGGTACATTTTGAATTTTTTTCTCTTTTATGGTTTTCTGAATCCATGGAATTTTTCCTTCTTTTGTCATTTCTATTGGTTATCCTTTTTAACCTTGTAGAGAACCTTATGCAGGTATTATCATTATTATAATAACTAATGAACTATTTGCGGTCATTGGCTTGTAAGGGGCATTATGCATTTTGTCAGTTTTTCTTGTCAGCTTTTTACCAGAAAATTGTATGACTAACAGAGTAAAGTGTGATAGATAATACCAGGTATACATACAGACATCCCTGTCATACCTTTTCCCTCACGCGGAGGAAGGTGTGCCCGGGGGATGAACTCGGGTCATTTTACGCAAGCCTTATTTTTTTTGCATTTACGTGTGTGTTCGAGGCAGGTGTTTATTTTCTCCCGGTCCGCCTTTTCTCTCCTTGACGTAGAGTGATGCTTCAGATTGGTACTTAAAGAATCGATATCATATTTACGGAGAATTCGGTGAAAGATTTTATCGGATGTTTGTGGGAATATTTTATGTAGGTGTGAGAGTGAGGTGTGAAGTCTGTATTCCAAGCTTATGGCAACTTATTTGTGATAAAACTCATTTTTTTAAATTGATTTTTATTATTATGTTAGGAGTGGGTATATGTATAGAAACACTGATATTGTTATCATTGTTTTTATTTTTTTGTCTTATTATTAAAATTATTAGTATCATTATTATTATTAGTAGTAGTATCATTATTATTATTATTATTATTATTATTATTATTATTATTATTATTATTATTATTATTATTATTATTATTATTATTATTGTTATTGTTATTGTTATTGTTGTTACTATGACTATTACTATTACTATTACTATTACTATTACTATTACTGTTATTATTATTATTATTATTATTATTGTTATTATTATTATTATTATTATTATTATTATTATTATTATTATCATTATTATTATAATTATTATTATAGTTATTATTATTTTTATTTTTATTATTATTGTTGTTATTATTATTGTTATTATTGTAATTATAATCATTATTATTATTATTGTTATTATTATTATTATTATTATTATTATTATTATTATTATTATTATTATTATTATTATTATTATTATTATTGTTATTATTATTATTATTATTATTATTATTATTATTGTTATTATTATTATTATTATTATTATTATTATTATTATTATTATTATTATTATTATTATTATTATTATTATTATTATTATTGTTATTATTATTATTATTATTATTTTTATTTTTATTTTTATTTTTATTATTTATAATAATGAAAAGATATAATTATGATAATAATAAATATCAAAACTTCATGATTACCTTTCTTAATCTTTTTTTTAAGCAGTATTAATTTTCATTTTAATAATACATCATTTTGTGTGCTCATGATTGTTTACCTTCCCTTGTACTGTATTGTATGACATTATATATTCTGATTCCTTTCATCTTACATAAAATAAGGTTGTTTAACTGTCAGAGTATTTATTTTGCAATAGCCCTTAATCTATCTCCATGAATAGCAGTTATATATAACATGTATATTGTCTTTGCCTCAGTATCCTTTTCTTTTAAAGGTTTTAGGTTACGTTTCGTTTCCCTTTGATTTGAAGGATGCGAGACTTAGTGTGCCTTTATTGTTATTATTATTTTTTTTTATGTAACATATGGTTATAATGAGAGATGGTAGATGTATATTTATCTTGTATCTTCTGAGAGAGAGAGAGAGAGAGAGAGAGAGAGAGAGAGAGAGAGAGAGAGAGAGAGAGAGAGAGAGAGAGAGAGAGAGAGAGAGAGAGAGAGAATGTGTGTGACAGTGACAGTGACAGTGACAGTGACAGACAGAGAAACAGAGACAGAGACA